CCTCTCTGAGTGAGGACTGAACCAAAGATCTAAAGATAAACACGTATAACTACCAGTTGACTGTAACTATTTCACTCTCTCTGTTTCATCAACTATATACCATTTCCTGCAGTTTTACCCAGAATATGTGAGCTACTGATATCCCTATAGGCTCTTGAAATTAAACAGCTCTCTCTCCAAACACCAAAATATATATCAGCAAATAAACGTTCCTTTGTTAGATACACTCCAATATATGACTAACTCATCATCATACCACAAAGAGAAAATGAATCAGGGCACATTATACACAGAGAAGTAGCTAAATTCCAGCTGTAACAGGAGAGGATATGAGGATGCTACAGAAAAGTCAGAGAAAAATCAATATGCTTTCTTTGCTGCACTGCATTCTGGAAATGGCCCAAGGCCAGCAGTCACCTGGTAATGATCACTGGGTTTGACAACTGTCTCTGACAGAGATATGTTTTCATGCATCTAGAAATAAACCCAAGGTCAACTTGTATTGGTTAACCTCTTCCTCTAAAATGCAACCAGGTTACCACAAGAAGAGAGGCTTGAGGCAAAATTATGTGGTAAACACCAAAAAGTCTCTGTTTATTACAGAATACAGTCACTGAATCGATAGCCAGACTAAGCTAAAAACTCTTGTTTACCAAACTGATGTTACTTATTTGACAAATGTCTGTCGAACACATAAAGGTGCTGAGTAAATAAAGACCAGCCATAAACCTTCTTCCTAACAACTCACAATCTAGCTGGAAAAAATGTTGTTTAAATAATCAACTATGATAAAGTGTGATAAGTGCTACTATGCAAGCAGTCTGAATACAGGACTCCAAAGGAGTGCAGAAAGGTAATTACTGCTTCTTGGAGCAGTTGAAAGAGGCTTCACAGGTGTGTGCTGACAACCACAACAACGAAGACAATGTAAGACATGAACATGGCCTCAGGAAAGGCATGGAAGTAAGGCAGTAGTACAGAGCAAAGTCAAAGAATGGAACAGTGTCTGTTGTGGCTGGAATATATATCAAATGGCTGCAAATTCAAATACTTCCAGGGTTCAAATGAATGTCAAAAAAGTAGCAAAACAAACTTGTTGATAAGTAGCAACTGACACTCTGCCTCAGGGTCTGAAGGACGAGGAGGTTGTAGTGAATTGGAACTGGCTTGCCTAGTGAAGAAAAGCAGAGGCTACGAGCCCTAGCCAAGTGCTGCCATGCAGAAACTTACGCGGCCAAGGCTTCTGACTTTTCAAGTGAAGATAAGAAATCCAGATTTCCATCCTAATTTTAAAAGTTCATCCTGACTTTAAATGTTTATCCAACTAATTAAAAACAATTTTAAAAACATTATACAAGTCCAAACGAAATATATCTGTGGGCTGGCTTCAGCCTGGGGGATACAAATCTACAACCTCTGACGCTGAATAGAAAGTAGAGGAAAAGGCTGGTAATGCAGGCTGGGGACAGATCATGAACGATGTTGAATACCATGCCAAGGAGTTTGAACTCTACCTTGACCCTGTAGGGATCATGAAATAAGATGAACATATACATATTTCAGAAAATCATCCCTCAAACTGTTTCTAAGTGTTGTTTGAAACGACTTGCTAGTGACATGATGGACACGGATTACAGAAGAGAGGTTGAAAATGGGGTAGACCAGCCATGAGATAATAACATTCGTCCAGACGAGAAATAAGAAATGGAGAGAAGGTGGTTTTTAAAGAGAGAGCTCAGTTATGGAGCAGTGATTGTGAGAAAGAAGGTGGTGGAAGGGCAGACTGGGAGACAGAGTGCAGGACAGAGCTCTGTCCAGTCAAGACTCCAATGCTGTGGACTTCTCTCTAGCTTTTTGTTTTTGTCATGGATTTCTCAAAAATCAGAATTACAGTATCATTCCTCTCCCAAACTAAATATGGCTACTACTACAGCAGACTTTTAAAAAATATCAGTTTCTCTACAAAATTAAACAGGGATGTTATTAATTTTGGTTGAACTATGGGTAAATTTGATGAGCTATGGGGTGCCCAGATTAACATTATTAAACATTTCTGAGTGTGTCTGTGAGGGTGTTTCCAGATTAGATTAGCATTTGAATCAGCAGACTCAGGAAAGTAGACTGCCCTCCCCACTGTGGGTGGGCATCATCTGATCTGTTGAGGGCTTGGATAGAACAGAAGGAGGAAGGAGGAGGAATTCACCTTTTTTTTACTTCCTGCCTGTCTGCTGGAGTTGGGATATCTCATCTTATCTTCTTCGGCCTTCAGATGGGGATTTCAACCATTGGCTCCCCTGGTTCTCAGACCCTCAGACTCAGACTAAATTATATCACTGGCTTTCCCGGGTCTCCAGCTTGCAGATAGCAGATATGGGACTTCTCAGTTTCCATAATCATGTGAGCCAATATGTCATAATAAATCTTTTATATTTATTTATATAAAATTTTATATATACATAAAATTTTCTACTGGATGTTTCTCTGGAGAATCCTGACTAATATAGAAGCTCTCTAAACATCTAAGGAATTCAGCACATTAATGAGAGCATGAATTCAGTTTGGTTAAAACAAAAAAAATATCTACCCCCAAAATAAAGGTCACCTTCAGTTACAGAATACATTCTTAGAGGACATCTAGGATTTTGGCATGATTAATCACACAGACACTAACATTTCTGAAATTGTTCTTAAACTGCCAGCTTTCTTCACTTGGCTCTTCTTACACATTTATTTTCTATAAAAACAGCTTTAAAGGTACAGCATTTTCATGAAATAACTGCTTTCACCTAATATTTTTTACTTTTTTTCTTAGCAAGATTCACCTCTGTGTTCTAATTGCTTCAATTCACAAATCTGGCAGAATACTTTTACATTAATCAGTCAGCATCTTCAGGTATCTTCTTTTGTCAAATCAGACATTTACTTCCACATTTTTACCAATAATATGATATACAGCTTGAGTAGTATACGACACCACACTAAACTACGCTGTCCCCACCCACCAAAAAAGTGAAACTAAAAACTGCTTCCACGAGGATGTAGGTTAGAATAAAATCAAGCTGCTTCTGTACACAGACACAATTGTATTAGATTTCAAAGTTCTGTTTGTTTGATTGAGCTTAACCATTTGCTCTTCTGCCTAGGTCCTCCTGGGCTTATCAAGACTAAAACTACACAATGAAGAGATTCAGCAAAGCCTGCAGGGAAAGACAGGGAAATGGAGAGAAGGATTTGGAAGGCTACAGGAAGAAGGCGGGTTGGCTAGCATACGTGAATGGGCAAAAGATAATGATCTGAAACAACATAGCCTTTGATATCTTATAATTCATACTTTTTCTTCTCTACAAGAGCATTATTCTGTCTCCCAGCGGAGTTAGTTATGTACTGGCTCAATTATACATCTCTGTGCACAAGAACATACACAATACAGCTTTGTTTGGCAAAAAGTAACTTGATAGATTCATATGGTGTTACTTTGTACCTTAATGTTACTGAAACCTACTATAGGGTGACAGAATGAAGAACAAAAGAGGGTCTAAGGATAGATAAATATCTTTACCTTTAAGGTCATGCCAAAAACTTAAGCTAAGCCATAAACTCAGACATGGCCTTATAAGAAACATATATCACAGGACTAGAGTTGAAACACACAGAATATAGAAACTATTTCAAATTACATGTTCAAATCAGACTCCTTTTCTACTGGTCTAAACAGGGAAAAGCGCTATTAACCTATAATACAGTATGTTGAGGACAATGCTGAGAGAATACGAGGAAATCGGTATGTCACACCTTTGGCAACACTCCACAGAGAGATTGTTTTTCACTCAACTGTAAGCTTCTTGAGAAAAGGGAACGTGTATTATTCACCTTTTATCCCCCACAGTACTTAGAACAGCTTCTGGTATGAGTAGGCTCTTGGTAATGGCTACTGAATTGGTAATTAAAATTCTCTACAAAACAAAGTTCTTATTCAAAATTAGCCACCAAGCATACTGAGCACTTTTGAAGGTACTGCTGTATGTGGGAAGGGGCAGGAGCCTTAAAAAAACAGTCGAGAACATGATCTTGAATGAGTACTCTCCAAAGAAGTGAGATCTCAGGTCTCACTTTTACCTAAAAAGTAAACAGAATTTGTGCACAGAGGCTTAATATCCATACAGGGGGGAAAACTACGAAAAGAGACCAGGTGGGATGAAGAGGGTTTAGCCAACGCAGCAAAGCACTGTCTCAGAGGAGTGGAAGAAGCAAATGCTGGGATGGTTTTCTCTCACTCATATTAGCATAGGAACAGGACAGAGGGCCAGGGCTCAACTGGGATTCACAGTGCAACGGCACCTTCATAGATCCCCAAGCTGGTTCACAAGATAACTACCATCATCACGCCTCCCTTACCTCATTTGGACTGCTACTAAAATGAGTTCTATTGCTTATAACATACTAAAGGATTAGAAACCAGAGAATCTGAGCTTGTAGAGACCAGAGCCCTCTTCAGGGATTTTCGAACTTTGTTTAGCCACAGGATGTTTTCTTCAAATAAAATTTTATAAATGACCCCAATGCATAAATAGATAAAATCGGAATTGCTCTGATTTTATGGTGACAGATAGTTACTAGACTTATCATGGTGATCATTACATAATGTTTATAAATGTTGAATCACTGTGTTGTACACCTAACACTAACATAATATTGTATGTCAACTACAATAAATAAATAAATTTTTTTTAAAAAGAATTGCTCTAATTTCCTGCTCAGGTTGCAGTAGGTGGCCTGGCACCCTGCTTGAAGCACCATCTATACAATCACTTATGGATGCACAATGTGAAAACTACTGATGAGGCCCAACTCCTCACTTGACAGAGAAGGTAAGCGCCTGCCCAGGCAGTGAATGAAAGAGCCAGAACTAGAATCCAGGAATGCCAACACTCAGAGCGGGTTCCCAGTTTATTCTATGCTGCTTCTAAAAACCAAAGGAGGAGGATAGAGTTCATACTTACCATCTTTGTTCAGCCATTGCTTTCTTGTTCTGTACAAAAGGAGCTTGTTGTGGACATATGGTAAAAGGAACTTGACACACCAGCTCTCCACACCAAGTTTGTTTTCAACCAGGACTATGGGACTCCGGTTATACCTAGCTTCAGGACATGGGATCAGGCCAATTTCATCTCTTAATATGTAAAACATAAAAAAGAATTAAAGATAAGAATATTAGCCTTTTAAAATTTTCAAATCCTAGAGTATTTTTTTAAAAACTCACATATTTCCCTTTCTTAAAAATATTATTTAGCTCACCTACTAGATTGGAAGAAATTAAAAAAAAAAAAAACACCAGTTTTTTAATTCTGACAAGAGCACGGGAAAATTAGTATGCTGCACTCCCTGTTGATAGGAATAAGAATTGGTCTAATCTTTGGATGGAAATCCGAAAATGACTTTCAAAATTTTAAATGTACATCCTCTTTAACTTTAAATGTACATCCCAGCAATTCCAGTGCTCAGACGTTATCCTATGCCAAAATATACAAACAGGATGTTTATTGCAACATTGCAACAAAACTGGAAACAACCTAAACGTATATCAATATAAAACTGGTAAAATAAATATGGCGTGACAGAGGTGTAAAACATGAGGCAGATCTGCAAATGCTGGTATGGAAAGGGTGCCAAGATACATGAAACAAAAAACGCAAAATGCCAAACACAATGTACAGCACAAAGCCTTCTGCATAAATTTTTTAAAAAGATATATAGATGCATTAAAAAATTTCTTGGAAAGATACCAAGAAACTTTCAGGGAGAGGAAAGATTTTATTTTTATATAGTTTAAATTTTCTAATCACTTTTTGTATTATTTACATTTTTAAAAAATGTCAAGAAATGTATTTATGCTTGCCTGCTAATAAATGTACATGGAGCAGAAACAAATTATCAATAAAAGTTATCTTGTCAATGAGACTGTGGGCCATTTTTTCTTCTTTATAATCCTTTACACTTGCCTGAATTAAAAAAAACACACTACTAAATGTGGTTAAAACACAAATACATTTTAGAATTTGATCATTTTCATCTAAAGCAGTATCTATATCCCTCAATCCACCTCAATTTAAGTTGAAAATTTACATTACAGGCTGAGATTTAATAAACAATATATAGGGCAGTTGACTTATATAGTAAATGAACCAGCAAACATAAAAATGTTTTTGCAAAACCTGCACACTTGCCTTTCAACTATAACGAAGTTAAAATTCTTGCCTACATGAAGCATTCTTTCTCAAATAGTACATCCTTCCCTTAATGAATAACAAGAAACCTTTTAACAAGAGCAGCTGACATAAATAATGATATTTTTAGTGTCTAAATGGATTTTTTTAAATGTTTTTAAAAAACAAAATAACTGCTTTTTAGAGTAGGTTGAAAACTACTGATGTGTGTGACATTATGTATTATGTCCCTGGGATTCCCCTGCCAAGACAGTAGTTTGATAGATGCAAAGAGGGGGAAACTTGTTTAATTATAGGTTATAAGAAAAGTCCTCTTTTTTTGTTAGGCTACCATCACAAACTGGTGGGAGGCTGTGGAACTAAAGTGAGACCCCTCCTGGAAACTCAAAACTGGATAGCTCAGGAGTAACCTACTTTCTACTGATCACTTCATTAGGGACACAGGGATATATCAATAAACAGGGGTACTCTAGGGGTTGCAAGTCACTAACCATTCTTTCAAGCTGATTTAACTCACAAGTACAGTTTGAGACCTAAAGTTTTTTTGTCCTGACAACTAGCTCAGTTGATTCAGAGGTGTTTTGATATACCATGTCAATACTATCTAAACATTTTCTGAGTACTGCAATGTACTGGGTACTGTGTTAGATTCTGAAAATGCAAAAATTAGTAAAACAAGGTGTTCTGACTTCACAGAACTGACATTTTTGATGGGGAGTTGTGTCAATATCTATAATAAAATGTTAACATTTGCCATTCCAGTAATATAAATAAAGTTCTGTCCTAAGAATGAGGCAATGCTGAGAGAGTATCGGAGGTCAACATCCAATATTTCAAAATATGTTTTTGCATATGTGTTTGGTGATATTAACCTGAACTCTATTTAATTCACTATTAGGACAACTAGCCACATCTAAATCCATACCTGACTAATTTATGACTGAATCTCTGGTATGTCCTGGTATTCAGGTTTTACTATATTAAGTAGAACATTTAACAAATAAACTAGAATTATAGAAAAAAACCTCACTGTAGTTATTTCAAGAAAGTCTGTTTTCTGAGATCTAATAACCACTTACAGCACTTCAAAGAACTGCAAAAGTCAACAACATGAATGTTAGGGTAACAAGAATAAAAGAATCTTAGCTTCTGGGTATACTCTGTTTTGGGGGGGATTTTTTTTACTTCAATTCACAACGTAACAACCTGCCTTGCTCACTATTTATACCAAAAATAAAATGCCCAACTAATAATTTGGTGCCTAATGAAAGCACAGAGCCATCTGGACAAACAAAAAACTTTAATTGGCTACCATTCTTCCAAGAAATAATTAAAAAAAAACAAGAATACCTTGTTATAGCAGGTGCTCAAAAACTGCTACTGAAAAGCTGATTATCACTGAACTTCAGTGATAATATTCAAATAAATAGTTTTCAAAGAATATTGCTTCTTGACTCTCCAAAAGACATTACTTCTGACATCCTTCTAATGCAGTGGGTCCCAGTCCTAGCTCTGTCAGTATGAGGCATATACACATATATATATCTCATGTCACTTGGCCTCTATAGACTTCAATTTTGACTGAGAAACCTGCAAGTTATTCTCATGTAAGGAGAATGAAAACAGTCATATCAGGGAATGTAAAGCACTAGGGTAAAAAAAATATTAAAAGAGAGGTAGTAGGATGTAGAGACAAAAGCACTTGATCTTTGGAGGTCCACAGTTCTAGTTAGTCTCCATTCTCCCACTGACAGTCAACGTGAATTTGGCAGGTCACTTGCCATCGGCATCCTCACCTGAAATATAGGAATAATAATGCCATCCCGTTCCTGCCTATTATGAAAAGCAAATAACGCACTGTAAAGAATGTGGTAAGCTGTACAGTGCCAGGCAAAGATGAAGTATGCTATCATTAATTCAGTTAAGAGTCTGAGGTCAACCAGAAAAGTTCCTTGGTTAACAGATAATGAGAAGCTGAGGCAAAGACAGTTAAGCCTTTGTCAAGTTATCTGACTATAAGATACAGTGCTTTGCTGCTTCCTAAAAATATAACATGTACATTATAAAGATAGGTAGGTCAGGAAGCTTCCAAATAACAGTGTTTGACTTCAGACTTCTCCTATGCCTAGTCCCTTAGGTCGTAGTCCACTTTTTTTTCAGACAATTTAGAATATGATTCCAGAATCATTTTAAAATTGGAAGAGACCTCATTCCTCCAGTCTCTCATTTTATCAGATGAGGAAACTGAGGTCCGTTGAGGTTAAGACTATTACTCAAGGTCACATTGCTAGTAGCTAAGTTACAAATCTGATCTCCTAATACTTAGCCGAAAACTCTTGACACTAGAGTAAAAGATAAAGACATCAGTGAAAGAAAGTAAAATTTAGATTAATTCCTTCTAGATTTCTGGCTATTTAAATTCTAATTTCATACTCAAGAAAAGTTGGAAAACTCAGGGACAAAACTAAAAGTCATTTGTCATCCCTCTACCACTACTAATGGTTGGGCATGCATCCTGTTTTTCTTAGTATTTTACAAACGTGGGATTATATTGGACATACTCTTCTATAACCTTTTTTTTACAACTTAATTCACATTAAACATTTTCCTACATAACTAATTTTTATATTTTTAATGGTTGCAATGAATGTGCTATAAATATCAAATATATCTCCAGTTATTTTCTTATGAAAGAGTCTAAGAGAAATTTCTGACTGTTTCACTACCACCAAATTCCATGCATTTACATTTTTAGCTTTCTAGTAATTTAGACTGGTATTTAACAAGGATACTCAAGTAAATACCTGCATTACCAAGGTCATACGATTTTTAAAGACATGAAGGTTTGGAACAGTGATCAAGTTCTAGTCTTCTCAAAGAGATACCATGATGTTCACTTTTTAGGTTACCTTCAAAGGCTGTTCCAAAGGAATAGCAACATGGAATGAAGCAATACATTACTTAAAAAGATCATACACAGCATGGTACATCTCTGACTGCTTCACTTCACAATGGGGATCCACTGCCTTCCATGAAGTTCAAGGTTCCTATAAAACTGATATTGACTTTGTTTCTCATGTTTAGACAGCTTCTCTTGTCTGGACTTTTCAGAAACATCATCAATTAGGGTGGGCCCACTTATTATTTACAAAAGTTAACATCAACCAGCTTCTTTTCGGGAGGGAAAGATGGTCCCCAAATATTAAAACTGAACCCTATAATGTGGAGTGACTGAACAGAAAACAGCCGAAGGATTCAGGAAATGGTCCAGCCCTTTTTAATCTAACAGTTATTTTGGGTTTTTTTTCATTCAAACTGGAATTCTTTCCAGAATGACCAAAAAGGAAAGTTATCAAAATATCTAAAGGAACTGACCCTGGCATACTGATAATTAAAACCTTATGGTGACTGAATTAAGATATTTCAGAGACCTTGCAGGCTTTCTCAATTCTAAAGGCCACTCACTTTGTATATCACTGAAATTACATTACTGACCTTATTTAGCAAACAGCTACCCAAATTACCACTGTTTATTAAGTGTTTATTATACGTGATGCTCTGTGTTAGGTTTTACATGCACTATTTCATTTTTTCCACACAATAATCTTATAAAGTAGGCATTTTATCCCCATTTTACAGATGAGGAAAGAGTCTTGTCTAAGTCTACCCAGCTAGTAAATGACAAGCCAAGGTTCAAATCCAGGATCATCAGACTCCAAACCCAAACTTTTACAACTATACTATTGTTTAAATAAATAGATGAAAATCAAGTGTAAGAAGACAACTAAGACTCTATGGTTTCCTATCCTTCAGTTCAACTTGCAGACAATCTAAAATTGCCTTTCATCACTACTCCTTTACTCAAAAATTTTCATTGGGGCCTAGCCACCGCCTAGGAAGTGTATCTCCCCTGAGCCAACTCATCCATCCCTCATGTCTCAATTTAACTATTTCCTCAGAAAGAACTATCTTGACCTTCTAATTTAATTAGGCCTCTCTGTTATTATTCTCTCAAAGTATCTTTCTTTATCCTTTTGGGTTCTTTTCATAATCTGCGTGTTGATTTGTTTAAAGTTCCATAGGACAGGGACCATGTGTGGTGTGTTCATCTACATACACCCTGCTTCCAGCCCTGTATACACAGAGACTAGCATAGTATCTGTCAAATAGAGGTGCTCTTTTGCTGAATGCATGCTTGGAAGGAAAGAAATTAAGCCAGACAGTCAAGCACTCCCAAAATCGGCCCCTACAGTGTCTTTCCAATCACATTTTGCTACTTTGGGTTAATTTGCTGTTCCCTGTGGAGGTCTTTGGCTCCCTCTCCGAGACTGTAAATCCTACCTCGCTTTCAAAGTTCAGCTCAAAACCCACCTCCCCTAAGAGCCCTGGCCAAGACATACATAGCCTCCCTTCTACTTCTAATAGACTCAGAGCACTTGCTCACCATATGGCTAGTCCAGCCTCTATCATAAACTGCTTTGCAGGGTTAATTGACTACTCTTACAGGTAGGTCTTAGGTCTCCATCTAGACCTGCACAGTGTAATACAGTAGTCACTAGGCATATGTGGCTATTATGTAATCAATTAAAATTAAATAAAATTTAAAATTCAGTTCCTCATTCACACTGGCCACATTTCAAGCACCCAACAGCTACAAACGCTAGGGGCCACTATGGTGGACAGGACAGATACAGAACATTTTCATTATCACACACATTTCTCTGCCTTGAGTACAAGAACTGTATTTTATACTTCTTCCTGTTCCATACTGTGAATATGGCACCTACAGCACCTCACAAACAGTGAGAGTTTAGTAAATATTTAACAGAATAATAAAAAATAACAACTTGCTAGATAAGAGAACTCTGACGTGACCCTAACTGCATTGTAAACAGTTGTCTTCCACAATAGCACGTTGAGGTCTATACATTAAGCTAATGCCTGTTTCTGGGCCAAGCCTTCAGTTGTTTTGGAATCAACAATACAAACAACATTTGTATGGTATTTTTCAGCTTATAATGTGCTTCACATTTATCATTCAGTTGGCGAATATTTTCTGAGGAACACAGGGATTCAGGTTACTTCTATTTACCTAGTGGCAACTAAGTGCCAGACACTGTATGAGGTGATTTTCCTGTGTTCTCATCAGCCTCACTATATCACAAGGAAACTGAGGCTGAGAGAGGGTAACAAAATCCACATCTCAACCACTGCATCTTCAACTCCTCCTAGCTAAATATTTCTACAGAGACAACAATGTCGCTATGTTCAAGGGAGTAGATGTTGGCTAATGAAATTACAATCTATCTTGTTCGGAGGAAAAAAGGAAACAAAAAGTAAAGAATAAAAACTTTCTTTTTATAATACTGAAAAGTGTAATTAGGTACTACTAACTTTCAAGGTAAATGATGCTTTTTTTCCTTTTAACTAGAAATATAGCCTCTTTATTTTGGGGAAAAAAGGGCTAAATTGGGGAAGAAGTATGAGCAATTTTGAGAAGTCCAAATTATAAGACATTTTAAGGGATGCATAGTGCTATTACTGGAGATATCGTTATTGTAGGCAATATGTACTAAACCATAGCTGAAGATTAATATTAAACAATGAATTAGGCCATTTAAATTTTTAGACCTATATTACATATCATTATTTCAAATGCCCAACATACTTCATACTTTTAAATCTTGAATGACCCAAATGCTTATTAATAATTATAAATTATGCAGACAGAGCATATTAATGAGATTTCACCATAAAAATATGATTAAGGGGGGTATTAAAGTCCTTTATGAATTTCAATAAATGTAATCCACAAGAACTGGCATGTGTTCCAAACTGCACTGTGTCGATCCGCCAGGCCAAGGAACACTCAATCTCAGTTTCTCCAAATAGAAAATACCGGAAGCTTTTCTAGTCTACCTCAAAGAAGAGAAACTAAAATGCTTACTGTACTTACTAGACTTCTTTCTAACCTCTGCTATATTTTCTTCAAGAAAAATAACACCAATGATGAGGAAACAGGCCCTTCATTTGTCCAACTTTTTTTTTGAGGATGTCTCTTTTTTGAGGATGGCTCTTATTTGCACTGAAGTTCTCATTCTCAAAAAAAGACTGAAAGACTGATACACAAGGCATCAAAGCATTCTTTAGAAGGCCCAGGACCCACTATGGTTACAGACAGGAAATCATTCCAAACACTCATTTTGAAAAAGGCAGCAGTCACAAGGGGAAAGGAAGTGGATGCCATCAGAGGGGGCAGGTGTGTTTTGAGGCCAGCAGTGTTTTGTTTTTAATGAGGCACAGTTGTAGGACTACAAATGTGTGCCACAAGGGAACAGGACATCTGAGGGCTTCTTAATTCTTTTATAAGCATCACCTTGAAGGAAAAGAACATTTCGTTTAGATGTAAGTTTGGCACCTCTTTTAGGCAGAAAAGTTTAACGGGTTAGAATGCTTAAAAAGAATAATTTATGTGTGCCAGTTTAAAGAAGAAAATATTAAAAATAAACTCCACAAACAATTAGATAACATGAAAATAATGTAAAACTGGATTCCATGTTTTTCTTTCTTTTCGGGGAAGGAGCGAGGAGGGATGGGAAAAGAGCTACACTCTTGCTTCTTCCTTACTCTTTTGTATAATGTTGTAGGTCACTCTCCTTTAATAGTTTCCTTTTCACTCGTTACACAAAAGCAAACGTGTCAGAAAGAATAGCCTCTTCTGGTATCTTCCCAGAGTACTCCAATTAATATGGAAAGGAAGGAGGAAAAGATACGTGTGTCAGTCCTGCGGTGTCCTACTTAAAGAGGGCAGCAGTGTTTGGATATAAAAAGCCTTAATATGCTCTCTGTAACTATGAATCAGCTAATGCTAAAAAGTGTCGAGGTTCCATCTGCTTTACACCAGACCCATCCTGTGCCTGCTGAAGCTACACTCTCGAGAACGCTCTGTTCACCTTCAGAACAAACTGTTTCATCGGAATGCCTCGACAATCTTGGGACAAGCAAGGCGCAAGTCAAAAGCAGCCTCAAACTACCTTTGGCTACTTAAGAATAAAATGATTGAGAATAAGATGATCGGTAATCCCCTCTTACCAACGTCCAGAATGAACCTCAAAAAGTGTTTACAAAGCATATACCGACCCACACTGTGTGTGCCCGTGTACCTTAAACGGATGCAGGATGGGGACACACAGGTGAAGTCTTTCGAGTTTCATGAACTCCTGGGAAAGGGGTGGGAGGGACAGGGAAACAAAGTCGCCCCGTTGTGATTTTCCCAGGTCACTTCCAGGGACTCGCCCGGGAGCGCGTTCCGGTAGCGGACAGCGGGCCCCGCGGCGGCCGACAACGGTCCAGCCGCGACCTCGCTCTGTCCCCTCTTGCGAGGGGCGCGCGGGCCGGGACCGCCGCCCGTGGTCCGCTCCAGGCTCGGCCCCGCCTCCCTCCGCCCGCCCCCGACGACCCCCCGAGGCGGTGGGGGCGCCGCCAGCGCGCGACTCACATGTGCGGGTTCCTCCTGAAGGCGTTGGTGATGTCCTTCACCACCCGCTGCACCAGCACGGCCACCTCCTCGCTCGTCTCGGCCATGTTAGCGGCGGCCCCGGCGGCCCAGGCGCGCCTCCGGGAGAGCGCCGAGCCGCCGGCGGGAGTTCCGCGAGGAGCGCGCGCGCGTGTGCGCCGGTTTGGCCGCGCCCCCGCCCCCGCCGCCGCGGCCGCCGAGCACTTCCGGGTCAGCCCGCTGGCGGCGCGGGCGTAGTGGTTGCCCGGCCTGGGGCGGTCTGGCTGGTCCGCGACTTCTTCTGAGGTTCCGTAACCGAGTTTCTAAGCGTCTGAGAAGATGCTGCAGGTTCATTTGGAAAGTTGCCTCAGGTCGCTGTTTTAAACATTTTGTTTTAATTTCTAGTCCCCTGGGGCCAAGGAGGAAGGGGTCATCAAGTCTCTCCCCCAGAGCCGGAGACCGGCCTGAACCCCCCGCCACCCATTCTCAGCTGTTCAGGGAACCAGCCAGGTCCCCGGGAGCTTCTGGAAGAAAGTTTGAGAGGGCGGGTCCTTTTGAGTAGTAGTATCTTGGCTTTTTGAGAGCTTGTTCGCCTTACTTGCCCAACTGGGAGGATGAGTTGGTCCATAGACACTCGTGGCGGAGTGAAGCTCCGTTGGACCGTGTTGGTGACCTCGTTTTGTACCTGCCCTCCAATTTCGGCCTTTGAGCGGCCGTTATCAGAAAATTAATTTAAAAAATTTAATTAATGCATTAAAGGAAGAAAAAAAGTAAAGGAAAAGTTATTTGCCACCTGGATATAGGGAGTAGAAGTGCAGAAATCTTTTTTAGATTTTCTGCTTCGTGTGTACTTCATTTGCACGTCATTTGGTGTCCTTTGAACGTTGTGTGTCGATTTTGGAGTTAAAAAACAAAGGCTCTGACAAGGTTTGCTCTTAATAGCTATTTACCTGGCTACAAAAAATTTTTGTAAGAAAAACTAGCTTTCTAGTCCATTTGGATTTCGAAATGCCATAATTCAAATTTGCATGTGTCAGATTTTTCTTCACTCTTCTGTGATAGAAAAATCTGGCTGCCTTTGGTTCAGTTCTTTTTACTTAATCCTTGAAATTTGTATCTTTTAAAGACTTTTTTTAAAGCAAGCTTATAGTGTGAACATATAATGTTCAACATAATGTGAACATATGTGGAGCATTTGAATTAGGGTTGATGATCGTGAAAGTAAAAACCATCCACTGGATGCAAAATTATAAAGCATGATACCAATTCTCAAATGGTTTGAGTTAGACAAGTCTTCTTCCTCTTCACTTAATCAAAGCCTTACATCCTTTCCTAATAAAAGTGGGAAGTAAATCCTGACTTCTGGAGGCAGAGCTCAAAGCAGCACACTCAGAAATAGAAAATTTTTTCAAAGATTTTATCTTAAAAATTAGTGTGATTTTTGTATTTCACTCTATTTAACAGGAAAAAACCAAACTTTGTCCCTAAATCCTGAAGTAAAATGGATATTCCAGAAAGATAATTCCTCTATATGATTATGTATATGCCCTCCCCACATACACACACATGCATGCACACCCACCCTCTTTGTACCATTTGAAAGGCATGAATTATATGTCTCATGTTTCTTCTAAGAATACACCAATTGTTTCACCCAATTATTAAGGATCTGTGATGTTTAGAACTCAAATTTTTTAGAATTGGAGCTTATTAGAACTCGGATTAAACCCCTAATTTTGCAGATAAGGCAACTGAGGTTCAAAGAAGTTGGGAATTGAAATTCACGAGACTTTAATGTGTATATAAGAATAGGATATGATAAATTTAGCATGATTTTGCTGAAGGACTTAAAGATTTATGTTCAGGGATCTGCAGAATGCATTTACTGATAATAATGAAATGTTGTAAATAGCTTAAATGCCCAACATTGGGGATTGATTAAATTACAGTAAATCTATGTGAGGAATACTATTTAGTCGTTTAAAAGCACATAGTAGGGGCTGGCCTGATGGTGCAAGTGCACGTGCTCCACTGCAGCAGCCCGGGGTTCGCTGGTTCGGATCCGGGCACGCACTGACGCACTCCTTGTCGGAGCCGTGCTGTGGTGGCGGCCCATATAAAGTAGAGGAAGATGGGCATGGATGTTAGCTCAGGGCCAATCTTTCTCAGCAAAAAGAGGAGGATTGGCATCAGATGTTAGCTCAGGGCTGATCTTCCTCACCAAATAATAAATAAATAAAGTAAAAGCACATTATAATTAGAAGAATATATACCAAACTCCTAGAGAGAAGTATATTTACAGGAGAATTTTACTTTCTAAGTAACACAAAAAACGAAACACAATTTTTGTAATTTAAGAAAAGTTTTTAGAAGTATATGTTAATAAAGACATGGATATATTTGTTACTTAGCCAACTATCTCTTATGCATATTAATTTTCTTAGGATGTATCTGATTTTTAAGTGACCATGCTTCTAATTATTGTTCACGTGGCTGTGAATGTATTTTAACAATCCTCCCACACTCCCCCAAAATCATGCTTTTCATATTTTAGAAGACTATTTGATGATGGGGGAAAAGGTAGATATGTAATGACAAAAACAAGTACCAAAACAGCATACAAGACGACCCTAATTTTATGTATACAAAATGAATTGTACATAATATAAATAGAATCCTATATATGATAGGTTCGGAGGATATAAACTAAAATGTTAACAATGGTTATCTCTGTGTGATAGAATTACTGGAGATAATTAAGACATAAATATACATTTGTTATACTCTTCTGGATGTTCCAAACTTTCTACAGTAAAAATCGAATGTATGTGTTGAGAGGCCTGGTAGGAAGGAAGACACCAAGGTGGTTTTAATGACAAGCTGAGCAATTACTGTTGTGAAGAATAGGAGATGACCTTATAATCTGTTTCTATCTTTGCTCTGTATTATTCTACTTATATCACTACGATGTGGTGTTTATTTACTCTGTTTATTTGGATTTGAAGTCCATTTTATCGTAGTAACATTATGCAAGATAGAGTGTAAATAGTACTAAACATGTTCTTACTGTGTGCTATCATTACAAAAAAAACAAGCTTATTTCCTCCATTAAAAAAAGTAAATGCTAGGGCCGGCTCCGTGGCTTGGCGGTTGAGTGCGCGCGCTCTGATGCTGGCGGCCTGGGTTCGGATCCCGGGCGCGCCCCAAGGCACCACGTCTCCGACCAACCCGAGGCCGAGTCCCACGTACAGCAACTAGAAGGATGTGAACCTATGACATACAGCTATCTACTGGGGCTTTGGGGGGAAAAAATGAATAAATAAAATCTTTAAAAAAAAAAAAAAAAGTAAATGCTCAATTTTAAATGCTTCATTATAATATTACCATATGACTAACTATATACTTGCAGTATGCCGAACCTCAACCTTATCACTATCCTAAAATTTAAAATCCAAGAACTTACTAACAAAGACATAGAAGGGAAATATAATATTATGAAGAAGCCACAATATCAATATCTTTTTATGAATTCTTAAGAATTAAGTCAACAGGAGTACTGTCATCTTTAAAGTTTTTATTAAAGACCATTTCAAGAAAAGGAATAGAAATTAATAAATGAATTTAAAAAGATGTGCATTAAACTTAGGCAAGTTTTGGTATACCCTTTGCCTCAATGTGTGGGTTTATTTTCCCAAATACAAAACTTCATGTATAATCAAGAACTATCTTTTTAAAGAATCATGAAACCACCCATGAATGTGAATGCCATCTATTCTTATATTTAGTTGATATCTCTAGCACTTCATTATTCTAACTGTTGAGGAAAAAAATGAGAAAATGTTTGTGATAGCATCTTTAAACTGTGAAACACTCTACAAATTATTACTTATTTCTGTGAATAAAGCATCATTATGAGTAAATCAGTTTTAAAACACGATAGTAAACTAAGACTAAGCTAAATACTAACTTTCAATATGAAACTTTGTTGTTTAACATTTCTAAACAGAATTATTATACAGCAATTACAATTAATCTCCTAGTTAAAACATGAACGTTTTTTAACCTAACAAAGTAGTTAAATGTTATCAAGATACTAATCATGATGATAATTTTAAATGACCAGTTAATGCTGACGTTAGAATCCATGAGGATAAAAGAATGAGGATACTAGTTGCATAATATGGTTTTTGTTGCTGAGTAAGTAATGTTTTGGTTTTCTTGACATTTGATATTTTCGAAATGTCATCCTTTTCCTTTGCCCTCTTCTTCCTTCCTCCCACGGAGGCCCAGGAGACTCATGATGTAATCTTCAGAAAAGAACAGGAGAAAATGTCTGGAGAGAAAAAGATCCAATCCAGGACCTGCATACAGAAACAGCTAGGGAGATGGGTATGTCTCCATGATGCAATGAATGTTTCTCATAGTGTCTCCATGATGCAATGAATGTTGCATCATGTAATTATGACAATAATGAAAACCATAGATTTAGGTTAAAAAAATCATAGCTGAAAATTTAGAAAGGTAGTAAAAACTTCATTTTGATTACAGAAGAAGAAGAAGTTCAGTCAGACTTCTTCAGTAACTGCCTAAAAGCAAGACAGGGCTAGCCCTCCTGTTCTTTATCTTACTTCTTAAGTTAATTTTTCAACTCAGAAGTTTTGTAATAAAAATACACCTTATTTCTCAGTTTCTTCCTGTTTCTATGTTTTAAGCCATCTCAGAAAATCGTCAAAATTAGCATTAGGCCAAAATCACCCACAGAAAATGATGAACTTTCTTTGTTACATGTTGAATTATGCTCTAATTTGCAGTATAGTATTTATACAGACTGATAGTCTGAGTTTTAGGAAGGAATGCCAAAGAGTAACTCCCTAATTAGTGTCTTCTGACACTTTAATTTCTGTGGTAAGTCTCCCAAATCACCATCAGTGTGCAAAAAAGACAGTGCAAAAGTTAGTGCATTGGGTTTATAGGAAGAGAAGGCTAAGTACCACGCCTAAGAGGATGGGACTGCAAGCAATTTTACTTATTCCACAAATTTTAATGATTGTTACTGTGTGTAAGACATTGTGCTAGCTGCTAGGTATACGATGGTGAGAAAGACAGACATTGTTCTTGCTATCTTGTGGAACCTGCAGTCTGATGGAAGAGATATACAATATTCAAGT